AAATATATATATATATATATATATATATATATATATATATATATATATATATATATATTTTTTTTTTTTATTTTTTTTATTTATTTATTTTTTTTTTTTTGCAGCAGCAGCACAATCTTATACTGAGAAAAATCCCACTTGTTTTAACATGGCTGCTAGTACATCCAGTCACCTTCAGTCGTTTGGGGGCTGCACTCTTTGACATTCCCCAAGGTTGGAGCAGATGGAGACATGTTTGGTGATCCTCTTTTCACAATCTCTCTCTATCAGTGGTTCCCAAACTTTTTCTCCTGCGCCCTCCCAGTGATTTCCAAATATATTTATTTTAAAGGTTATTTGGTGTTATCGACAAGGTTTTGGTTGAAAAGGTTATTTCCTAAAATGGAAACTTGATTTTTCTCCACTCTGTATAAATGTATCCTAATTAAAGTCTGGATTTTTCCATAATTTCTAGTGTGACTATGAAAGTTTAAATAAAGACACATTTACTTTAAGAGTTTTTACACATCTTTACAAAGATGGAATCGAACAAAGATTCTTTTACATCATCCATCTTCTTCGTCGGCTTATCTAACACTGCTTTTAACGCAACACAAAGCTATTTGGTGATGATCATCAACAATATTTCCACACAACAGAGATGTGTTTGTCTAAAGTCAATCACATTGTGTCCTCCAGGCTCCAGGGGTTCGTACAGCAGCCAGCACAGTCACCTGGGCTCTGAACTGCGGCCCCTCCAGTCCCCCGAGCACCACATTGATCCCATCTACGAGGACAGAGTCTACACCAAGCCCAACCTTAGAGGACAAGGTGAGCGGACATATATTGACAGAGGTTGTGTGTTTAGGGCATACAGGGGGACGTCTACAAGTACTGAGGTCTATTAAGCAAAATCCCACAAGACAGGAGACGGGGGGGGAGGGGGGTGCAGACAGGAGGTTTGACAGATGGAGGCTGAGCAGAGAGTCAACACATTGAGCAGGAGATGAAGCTAGAGGTGAAACCAGAACTGCACCGAAATGATAAACACAGGGATGGCATTAGAGCTGTTTTGCAACCATCCAGAAGCAAAATTCAGTGTGTAAAAATGGCATTGTTGTTTTGATCAGCTGCAGTGAGAAATAAACAGAGGCGGGCAGAGTACCCAAAAATTTACTCAAGTAAGGGTAGCGCTAGCTCAACAAATTTTTGCTCAAGAAAAAGTAAAAAGTAGCCAACCGAGAAATTACTCGAGTAAGAGTAAAAAGAATAACTGATCAAATTATCAATCAATTAATATTTAAAAATTACATCATCAGACAGACCAAAAATATAAAGTTCAGTCGAAATTTAAAATGACAATAATTTATATAGGTAACAAAAAATAGCAAAATTCGGCAAAAGAATATTTCCAAATCAACTTATTCAACATAAAAGTTATGAAACTTTAACAAAATACTGCAGGTGCGTGTGTGTCTGTTGAATTTTTGGTTAAAACATGTTTGTCCGTTCAGTGCATAGAGAGTCCAGAAATTTTACTCAAGAGTAGCAATACTTTATTATAAACTTACTCAAATAAATGTAAAAAGTACAGCGTAGTGAAAATACTCCTAAAAGGAATGTTTTTCAAAAAAAAGTTACTCAAGAAAATGTGATTGAATAAATCTAACTAGTTTCTAAGTCGATTCCGATCTTGTACATCTGATATCGTAGCATAAATAGTGTTTTCCCAAAAGTTGGCCTGCCATCTTTTATTTCTTTTTAGTCAAAACTTCTGTGGCATGAACTCAGCC